ATTACTGCTATCATTATTATATTATCACTGTTATCACTATCATTATTAGTAGTAGTAGTAGTAGTAGTAGTAGTTTCAATATCCTTATTATCATTATTATTGTTATTGTTGTAGTTATTATCATTATTACTGTTATCATTATCATTATCATTAATATTATTATTACCACTATTATTATTGTTATTATTAGTATCATTATTTTCACTATCATTATGCTTATCATTCCATGTTATCATTACTTTTATTATCTCTATAATGGTAATAATAATAATGTTAATAATGATAATAATCATTGGTGATAATATCAATGATAATAGATATTATGATGATAAAAATGATAACAATGATAATGATAATGTCGACAATAATAATGATGATAATATTAATTATAATAATGATAATGATAATGATAACAACTGTAATAATAATAATAATAATTGTTGAAATAATAATAATGATTCTAATAATAATTATAGTAATAAAAAGAACAGGTATATAATAACAATGGTAGTGATAATGATGTTCATAATAAAAAAATCATAACAATAGTATTGATAATAACAATATTAGTGATAATAATGGTAATGATAATTATAATACTGATAATAACGTCATAAATCATAATTATTACAATAAGAATAACAATAACAATAATAATAACCAAAATAAAAATGATAATAGTAATAATGAGGATAATAGTAATAATAATAAAAGTAATAATAATAAAAGTAATAATAATAATGGTAATGATAGTGATAATAACAAAAATGATGATGTTAATGAAAATTATGATAAAACGATAATAATGACAATTATGGTAATGCTAATGAAAATAATGACAATAATGATCATGATAATTATAAGGATAATAATCATAGTAATGAAATTATCAACAGCAACAATAGCATTATTAATGATACCAGTGATAATAGTAATAATGATAATAATAATAATAATAATAATAATAATGATAATAATAATAATAATGATATTAATAGTTATAATGATAATAATAATAATGATAATAATAATAGTAATGATAATAATAATAATGCACCCCCAATCGGATGGGCGAGGACTACAGAGTGTTGAAGAGGTTGTAGAATTAGAGAAAGCAAGTCTTGGCTTCTACCTGGAAACGACAGAAGAAAGTTTACTTAAGGAGGTAGTGAGAGATAGGTTATTTACATAATCAGTAGAACCAAAAAGGAAAAAACAGGAAATCATGACAAAACGGAAAGCAAACTTTGAAGAAAAGAAGCTCCATTCAGTGTTTTTCAAAGAAACAAAAGAGATTAGGGATGACAATGATAGCTGGCTGTGGTTACAGAAAGGCGTATTAAAGAAAGAGACAGAAGGATTAATACTAGCAGCACAGGAACAGGCATTACGGGTAAACTGGATCAAGAAAATGATAGATAAACAAGACTGTTCAGCCAAATGCAGAATGTGCGATGAACGAGACGAGACTGTAGCACACATTGTATCTGAATGCTCACAGTTAGCTCAAAATGATTACAAGAAGTGCAGACAAGAAATTCGGTTTTGCATGCACGGAGAAATACTATGAGCATTTTGTGGAAACAAAGATGAAAGTCCTTGAAAATGATGAAGTTAAGCTGTTATGGGACTTTTCTATACAAACTGACAAGAGAATAGAGCATAACAAGCCAGATATTGTGGTCTTAGATAAGAGAAAGAAAGTGTGCCTCGTAATTGATGTTGCTTGCCCGTTTGACACCAGAATCAGAAAAAAGAGCAAGAAAAGAATACTACAGTGACTTGAAATACGAAATTCTGAAATGTTGGAACAAAGAAGTAGACAAAGTCATGATCCTACCAATCGTCATTGGGGCATTGGGAACTGTGACAAGTAATTTGAGAAAAAACCTTGACAAGGTAGACCTACACAAGGGGATTGATGCTCTGTAGAAAACATGTCTTCTTGGAACAACGCGAATTATCCGGAAAGTCCTCGATACAAAGTAAAGAACAAAGGTGGACTGTACAGGACAGTAATAATAAGAAGGACAGAAATGTTTCCCATTCTAGACCATGGGTAATGGTTCGATGAGAGACATAATTCAGACAATTGGCCGGTTGTTAGATCAGTGCCGTGTAAAAGCAAAATGATAATAATAATAGTAATAATAAGGATAGGAAGAAAAATGCTAAATAGTGAAAACAGAATAATAATAATGATAATAATGAGAGTAATAAGGGAAATAAAGAAAATGATGATGATGACTGGGACGATGACGACGACGATGATGATGACTAATACTAATAAAAAACACCACTGCTACTACTTCCACCAATAATAATAATAATAATGATAAGAACAATAATAGCAAAGAGAAATAATAATGATACTAATGATGGGGATAATAATTATGACTCGTATAAAATCCGTCAACAGGATTCATGATCCGTTCATACCATATCTCGACGCTCCGAACATTCCCAATGAACCGCTTGTCTGAAACAAGAACTCGCGCACAGCCTCCTACACTTATGACTTGCTGTTGATGGTGCGAGTCCATTGTTAACCTTTTCGTGCGCTAGTGGAAAATAGACTGCGACGTCAACCTTGGTGTCATAATTGCATTTTATTTTAGTTGCGGCCGAGTGATCCCGTACTCTGTTCTGGTTCTTGTTTTAGGCTCCGTATATTGCCGAAGCGATCGTCCCTCTTCCCACCAGTCACGTAAATCAGTTAGACTATGCCCCTCCCTCTTCCCAGAATGAGGAGCTATCATCGGCAGAGTCTCTACGTCACAGTTCACCTTCTGTGGTTCTTCCCTTGTCTTCCAAATCCCCCTATTCTTTACTTCTCTTCATACCCCTACACCAACGACGAGAGACCGTGTGGGGGGGGATACACAACCCTGATTCATTGATTGGGCTCAACCTCCTCTCCCTCTCCTTCATTTCTCAACATTTTACTCCAGATAACTTTAAACGATTGCACGTTTAACGATCTCTCTCTCTCTCTCTCTCTCTCTCTCTCTCTCTCTCTCTCTCTCTCTCTCTCTCTCTCTCTCTCTCCTCCTCTCTCTCTCTCTCTCTCTCTCTCTCTCTCTCTCTCTCTCTCTCTCTCTCTCTCTCTCTCTCTCTCTCTCTCTCTCTCTCTCTCTCTCTCTCTCTCTCTCTCTCTCTCTCTCTCTCTCTCTCTCTCTTCTCTCTCTCCCTCACACACACACACACACACACACACACACACACACACACACACACACACACACACACACACACACACACACACACACACACACACACACACATACACACACACACACACACACACACACACACACATATATATACACACACATGTATGCAAAGCATTTTGATGCATTGTTGAACATCAGGCAGTTCGATAACTGATGAAAACATGTAATGGACGCGTGTCTATTACTTCTTTTATACAGAGAGAGAGAGAGAGAGGAAGAAACTGTATTAGAGAAGAGAGTCGAGTTCCTCTTCGCAAGCAAAGCGCGTTTTTCAAGCTATCAGGAGCGAAGCGGTAAAGTCGGTCGATCCTCGCCTTCCGGAGACGGCGCTTGGAGATTGCGAAATTACACCCACCTCGATCTGTGTGTGGGAGGATGATGGTAATCATGACCATAATCATGATCACTATTATCACTAATTATAGTAATTATTAATAATAAGGATAATGATAATGATAATAATAATAATAATAATATTACCAATATTATTATTATTATTATTATTATTGTTATAATTATCATCATTATCATTATCACCTTTATTATCACTGCAATGACCATTAGTGTTATCATCATTGTTATTGTGTTATGGTTATGATGATAATCTTTATTATTAGCATTATCCTTATTGTTATCTTTATCATCGTTATTGTCAATAGTATCATATTTCATCATCATTATCATTGACATTATCATTATCATTGTTTTTATCATCATCATCATTATTATTATTGTTATCATCATCATCATTATCATTATTTCCAGCAGACTATTATCAACGTCATCATCACAGTCATCATAATCATCATAAATAATTATCAAAATTAAAATTATAATTTTAATGATAATGCTGATAAGAATAATACTGACAATGATAATTACATTGGTAACAACACTGATACAGTTTTACATTTATAAGCACCACTTTTTTTCTTTAAGGAGTTAATTGTCTGTTTACTAAACCTAGTACGTTTGATCAATCACATATTATTTTTAAGACTATTATTATCGTTATTACCAGTATCCAACCCACCACCATGATGGAAAAATATTCTATTCTGATATATTCTATCAACGAGGCGAGTTACTATCAGTGAATCAGCAAGTTTAAGATAACAAGTGATCTTAGTTCTCTAGGACTAAGACTAAGAGAAATTTATCGTTAGGAAGAAGTTTCCCCTAAAAAATTCACGCTTTCTTTAAACGCATTGAAACTAACGTTTTCTTTGACAAAAATATAGGGATGACTGATCAATCTTGAATCTGATTATAATATCATTGAGAATATGAGAGATGTTTGGGAAGTATTATCTATGGTTAGAGGTTGTTTTCAAAGCCAAAATATCATAATTGTATATTTCAAAGTAATTTATATCCAGTATCCCTAAAGTTATTAAACCTTATAGTAGTATTTTAGTTATCTATTTCTTGGAAAAACTTCTTAAATCATGTTCAGTTCTATGCTTCCACAATAAAGTATGAATTGCCTGTGGTCGTGTTTTCCTTTAATCCTTTTTTTATACATCTGATATTTATTAAACGAAAAGACAATTTTGAATGCCTTATGCAATCTCTTTGTCCGATTCTATTATACCCGACTTTGAATTTAATTCTCTTCAAGTAAAATCCGAACTTAATTCCTTATTTTATCCATAAAGTCGACTTAATCAATTTTGCATCCCATAAGAACATATTATAGGCATAAATATCAGCCAAGACGATTAATTTTAATCTTGATCAATTAAAAGACCATTACAGATAGGCATTCGGACGAGACCAGTACATCGTCTGCACCCTAGCCTCACATAATTCCTCTTCCTCGCTTTATCACGTTATTCCTCCTCCGAATCCCCCCAAAAATGAGTGAAATAAACCGCCTGGACACATGGAACGAAAGATGGGAGAAAGGCAGAACCGGCTGGCACAAGAATGACGTCAATTTCGCCCTAAAGCACCACGGAAAGGCCCTTTTGCCGACTCCCGGACGCCGAGTGCTCTTACCCCTGTGTGGAAAGTCCCTCGATCTCAAATGGTATTATCCTTATTAATTATCCTTTTAATACACTTTTATTTTTTTCTAATACAGTTTAAGCTTATTTTTTTAACGTTCACACAGGGGATTTTAGGTTAATGATGGTTTATATGCTTTTATTTTACTCATGCGAGCTTGTGAGTAATAGGTATTATTGCACCAACAGATGGCTAGGACGTGAGAGGTAATTGATAGAGAAGTAATTGTTCCTTAAATGCTAAGTCTTCTAATTCTTCTAAATTCTAAGTCTTCTAATTCTTCTAAATTCTAAGTCTTCTAATTCTTCTAAATTCTAAGTCTTCTAATTCTTCTAAATTCTAAGTCTTCTAATTCTTCTAAATTCTAAGCCTTCTAATTCTTCTAAATTCTAAGTCTTCTAATTCTTCTAAATTCTAGGCCTTCTAATTCTTCTAAATTGTAGGCCTTCTAATTCTTCTAAATTCTAAGTCTTCTAATTCTTCTAAATTCTAAGTCTTCTAATTCTTCTAAATTCTAATTCTTCTAGATTCTGTCTTCTAATTCTTCTAAATTCTGTCTTCTAATTCTTCTAAATTCTAATTCTTCTAGATTCTGTCTTCTAATTCTTCTAAATTCTGTCTTCTAATTCTTCTAAATTCTGTCTTCTAATTCTTCTAAATTCTGTCTTCTAATTCTTCTAAATTCTAATTCTTCTAGATTCTGTCTTCTAATTCTTCTAAATTCTGTCTTCTAATTCTTCTAAATTCTAATTCTTCTAGATTCTGTCTTCTAATTCTTCTAAATTCTAAGTCTTCTCATTCTTCTAGATTCTGTCTTCTAATTCTTCTAAATTCTGTCTTCTAAGTCTTCTAAATTCTAATTCTTCTAGATTCTGTCTTCTAATTCTTCTAAATTCTGCCTTCTAATTCTTCTAAATTCTAAGTCTTCTAATTCTTCTAAATTCTGTCTTCTAATTCCTCTAAATTCTAAGTCTTCTAATTCTTCTAAATTCTCCTAAATTCTAAGTCCTCGTGTATGACATAGGTGTGGCATGTTAAAAATATGGTAGATAAAGTAAGGTTTATAGATATAGGGAATTCTCTGTAGATTAAGTTGATTTCAGTTGATTGAAGGTGTTTGAATGTATCTATAGAGTAGTTTTTAGTCTCTGTAAACCAGTTGTAGTAATTATATTGGCTTTGAGGGAGTGAAATGTATGAAGGCAGATGAAATTAGGTAATGAATTCCACTGGAACAAGCTTTGTGTATATTTTGATATCATGATTTTGTTGTCATTCACAGAAAGATTATATGCAATTTTTATGGTGATCCTTCCTTAATAACCATCCTTATATGGCTGGTTTATTAAGTTGAGTTTTCATGGGAAGGGATGGAACATCAACTGATGATGGGCGTCACTATGACATTTGTGTGCCATTATGTGATAGCCGCAGCCTCCATATCCATAGTTTGCAAACGTGAGCAAACCTCAATCATATTTAATATGGCAGGATAGAACTTACACTTGGTTTATGCTACACAGTTCTTTACATTATGGAAAAATATTAGGGAAGTGGAAGTTCTATTTTGCCAGACTTAACATGGTGAAGGCTCATATACTGTGGCGTGTACTTGATGCTGCACAGTTGCCAGTATCATTGCTGCTGTAGTTAGTTATTTCCATAAAATTAAACAATTTGCTATATATACCATCTCAATATCCATCAAATGCAAACCATCAGTACCTAATTCATTATTATTGTGCAGAATTAATAAGACATGAGTTACCTTCTAACAGAAAGTTTTGTCTAGGAGTGCATGTCCATATAGATATACATATCCATACTGCTGTACTGACACACATATATATACTTTGGATTATTCTATGTTTATTTAAATTTCAGGTGCTATGATGAAGGGCATCATGTTGTTGGCATTGAAGGAGTTGAAAAGCCAGTTGCAGATTTCTTCACTGAACACAATATTCCCCACAGTGTAGACCAATTATCATGGGCAAAATTGTACAAGGTTTGTATCTGAAATTAGAGTAATTTTCCAGTAGTTTAGTATATACCCTGTCAACCTTTAACTAAACTTAACTTAGTACTATATACATTCAGAGTATCTGATTATGACCTAAAATTCAAAGCTAAAGAAATCTAGTTGAAAAGGTTTGAATCAAGTGTATTGTATAGTATATTGAAAAAGAGGCACTTCTAGGGTACTTGTCATTTATTGTCATCAGGTGGCAGAGCAACAGCATGACATGTAGCTAACAATGTTGCAGAGGAGAAAAGCTTACTGTCAGCATGAAAAGCATATTTGTGATAACTGCAAGATAAGTTCGATGAAAATAGCGCAGTAGATAAGTCTGTACACTTTTCTCTCAATCCCATTTTGTACTCAGACTTTGTAAGGAGGCTTGTTATTAATTTATGTTATTTGCTTTTTTTTCTCATATTTACAGTAAATGTACCTTGGGACTAATCCTGTGCTTCTAGGATTAACCACTCACACTATTGATATCAATAGTTGTTGTTTGTTGTGTGTCATGGTAGCATTTTAATATTTTCTCCTCTGTTTCAAAACAACTCTATTAGATTATTTTTATTATCATATAAGATTAAACTTTACACAGAATTCAAAGGCATATTTGATGTTATCTGCAACCCAAAATGAGTCACTGATCAGTTATCACTGCCAGCCAGCCAGCCTTTTTTTAACTACTTAAAAATATCTAAGATCATCTTGAATACAATAAAACTTGATTCTGAACTTGAGAAAGAATGTAAACTGCAGACCCCAACACCAGAACAAATAATATTGCATTTGAAAAATAACCAGTTGCATGATGATACTTCTGGCATATATTTATAACAATGGTTTTTCACAGGCTTGAAGATTAACTCTTCATTTCTTTCCAGTCTGATGATGCTCGGCTTCAACTCTATTGCTGTGACCTGTTCAACATTGATGTAGAGGCAATAGGAAAGTTTGATTCTGTGTTCGACAGAGGGTCATTAGTTGCCATCTATGAAGAAGATAGAGAAAGGTCAGATTTTTTTTTTCTTTTCTTTTCTTTTCTTTTCTTTTACTTTCATAGGTGTATTTTTTACTGGATCAAAGTTACAATTATATAATTTTTCTTCTGTATTAGAGCTCTCCAAGATGTATTTTTTCTAATTACTGATGGAACTAAAAAGATGTAGAACACTTGTGAAGTATCAGTCCATTTATCCAAAAGGAAATCTCCAAGCATGATGAGATTTAAGCACAAATATCTAGCCATAAGTACAAATATATAAAGAAATGAGGATTGGTATAAGCAGACAAAGATAAAGTTACAGAAAGACATTAGATACATAGATATGAAGATAGAGATATACACTCATGCTTCGATATACCATTTTACGATATGTATATTTTAGCATTATATTCAAAAGTATATTGAAATGTTTTGGTGGGTATTTGCAGATATGCTGAGCTAATGAAATCCATACTCAGTAATGACTTCCGTTACTTGGTTAATCTGGTCCAGTATACTCCTACCGAGACTTTTAATGGACCACCAAGAAATGTCCCAACTGCTCTTGTACAGAAGCTTTTTGGTAAGTTTTTTTTCTTTTTAATTCTTTTTCTTTTACCTTTGAAGCACCTGCTGTCTTAAACAATAATACATTGAATCTTTTGTCCCATCTGCATATAATTTTATACATATGATATGTTTTGGGTAAAAGTAACTTACATAAATGTGTGTGAATAAACTGTATAATATTTTTGTTTGTCATGTATAACGTTATGAGACAATCAAATGATCCAAGTTATAGATAGATGCACACTTCTTATATGAAACAATATATTCTGCAATTTAAGAGTTATCCTTATCAGATTAATCAGTATTTCATTAGATCAAGCATTTTCTATTTCCGCAGGAGATAAAATCAGCGTTGAAGTTTTGGAGACCCTTGACAGGACAGAAGAGGATCCTAAAGTTAAAGGAAGTTGGGGTTTGGATTCCATGTTTGAAGTTGTGGCCTTGCTCACTCCCAAGGAATAGGTTTTAGGCCTATTTCCAGGTGTATAAGTTTCTCTTTTTTTCCTAAGATCAGTTCCCAGTCCAGTGATTTTGCATTTTTATTTATTTATGATTTATTTGTAATCAAAAGATATTTTTTTTTTCTTGTAACAGGATAATTGAGGTGAATATCATTCAAAATATGAAATGTGTGAAGTTTTTAATTATTTATCTTTATATAGTCATCTTATTCAGACATGCTGAAAGTGTACATTATGCAAAGAATCAACCATTTTATCAATGGCAATAGAGTTTTTATCTTTTAAGATATAGTCTTCAACTTTCATAGAATAATTCAAATAAATAACAAGTAAAATGAAGGTTCAGTATATTTCATGATAACTGTTTACCAATTACTACATATCTATCCTTGAAAAAATATATATATATTGGTTAGTGTAATTACATTAATTTTACAGTGCATTTTGTTATTTTAATTTTTTTTCGAATAGATCAGAAAATCGTCCTTGCTGCTCAGAGTTGCACACCTTGAGAAATTTTTGATGGTAAAAGATGTCTATGTTGTTTCCTCCTCATTTATGAAGGTGTCTAGTAAAGACATAAATATATGTCTATAATTCTCTGTGTTGGAGTTCTTTAGTCGTATTTTTATAAAAGTAAAAAAGATATGCAGTCTCTATATTTTCTTTGTAAAGGATAAATATATTATACTCTTAGAAAAGATATTATGTATCAGTGATATTACTCATTATTTATTAGCAGTAAGTCACCAGGGCAGTACTTATACCAGAAAACTATTTGATCACTTATAGCTCTTTTTAGTACATATTAGTACATGTGCCCAGATGGTCATTGTTTTTGCATTGGTGTGTTACATCATGTCTTCTACCAAGTGGAAATTTGTGATTAGAAGTATATTTTCATTAAAAGTGTCCCGTGGGGAAGTGTTAAATGTATTGTTACCAAAGTCTTTATCTTTGTTTGGTATTAATTGTAACAAAATATACAATGCTAAATGCATAAAGTTTGATGAATTTTATCATTGTTTTAGTAAGGTGCTCGGTGTGTATATATATACAATATATGATTTCATGGTTGTGTAAATAATTTTTTACATTTTATCAGTTCAGGGATTTCCTTTTGTAAGGTCTTCATAATATTTTATGATAGGAAGAATGCCTATGTAAACTTTTATAGACATACTGCCCTTCACTAATGGGATAGATGTATATATATCATGATGAATTTTTTTATTTGCTTTTTTCTTTGGACATTTCTGTAAAAACACGATTTGAAAATCTTTCATATAATGAGTATATTTGTTGATAATAAATCCTTCAATTTGATGAGATTTGGAAACATACTGGCTTAATTTAGAAAAAAAGTATGAAATAAAGGCATGGAATGTC